AACTCTCCGCCTCGGTCAGAGTGCAGACGCAGAACAGGAAAGTCTGAGCTGAAGCTCCTCCTGAGCTGGAGACGAGCTGCGCGGATCCAGTCGATGAACACCGCACTGACATCACCCTTGCTGCGCAAGGGGAAGACTGTGGTGTAACGCGAGTAGTCGTCAACCACCAGCAGGAAGTAGCGCTCGTGACCCTGTCCACGGACGCGGGCCGGGCCCCACACGTCCAAGTGAAGCGTCTGCAGCGGAGCCTCTTTCGAGGGAAACTGAGAGGAGTGAGGGGCAGCCCGGAGCCGCCCCTCGACACAAGGGACACAGGAAGGACCAGGCCCTGAAGGAAGGGGAGGGAGGGACTGGGGGAGACCAGAGACAAGGACAAGGGAGGCCATGCCCCGAAGACGAGGCAGGGAGGGGTGACCAAGACGGTGGTGCCACAGGAGAGTCTCGTGAGACAGAAGGCGACACGAGCAGGGGGCAGACTCAGGACCAGACCTGGACGCAGCAGCAAACACCTGACCCGACGCAGCTACCTGGCCAGACGCAGAGACAGGAGGAAAACGTGGTCAGGGTGTAGAGACTCGACCCCGGCCCACGTGAAAACGTGGCCAGGTGTCGGCCTGTGCGGGCATCCGAGCAGTGGGTCACCTGCTGACTCGCAGGAGTGAACTGGTGAACCCCCGCATCCTGCAGGTCAGCACCACTCACCAAGTTCGTCGAGAACGAGGGGAGGTACAGACCAGACAAGGTGCCCGAGGGGGCAGCCGGACACGGGAGGACTGTGGAGAAGTGAGAGAGGACGGGACCCCCAGAGGGGTAAGCCAAGGAGACTGCAACCGGCCGACCAAGCGGCGTGAGTGTGGTGCGGTCTCGAAAGAAGGAGCGAGAAGCCCCCGAGTCAAGCGTGAAGGTGAGGGAGTCCGAAGCCGACGCGGTACCTGAGAGCGCAGCCTCACCAGTACCTGAGGGCGCACACGCGCTGGCACCCAGAGCAACAGCCTCACAAGCACCTAGCGCAGCAGTACCTATGCCTGGGTCGGGCGGTAAACACCGGTAACAGTCACCCTTATCACTAATAGTCACAGCACACATGGCAGCAAGGATAGCATCAAAGTCAAGATCATAGATAGCTACGCCTGCCCTAGACAGCGCTCCCTAGCGGGGGATCTCACTAGCCTCGGGGAACTGCTGACGCCAAGCGTCCGTCAGGCGGCCAAAGCAGCGCTGGGTGGGGTGGGCACCCCCACACTGCTCACCCGCGCGGTCGCCGGAGCGAAGGACGTAGGTGCACGGACCAAAACCCCCACCACGCTGACGCTGCGTGTACCACTCACGGAGCTGCTGAGGGGGGGGGATGTCCCGAGAACGCTGCTGCTGCTGCTGCTGCTGGCGCTGACCACCACCAGAGCCGCTCTGCTGCGAGGCACCACCCCGACCAGCTCCACCTCCTCCGCCACCGCCGCCTCCACCGCCGCCACCACCGCCACCGCCGCTCCCACCGCTACCGCCGCCGCCGCCTCCGCCTCCACTGCCGCCACCACCACCACCACCTCCGCCACCACTCCCACCGCCACCCCCACTCCCTCCGCCGCCTCCACCGCCACCTCCACCACCCCCGCTAGCTCCACCCGCGCCCTTGCCCCCCTTGCCCTTGCCAGAGCGGCGTCTCCCGCTAGGGGCAGACGCCGCACCGACCGACTGAAGACCAAGTAGGTCGGCCGCAGCAGCAGAGGCGACAGAGGGCAACAGGGGGGAAGGGGAACACCCCTCAAAGATGGGGGTGCGAGGGTCACCACGAGAGGCTCCTACAGCGACTATGCTCTTCTCCGCTGCTAGGAGGGCCTTGTCTAGGAGGTCAACAGTGAGAGTGGTGGGACAGACTGAGAGAAAGTGGTCCCTGACTACGCGAAGGGAGTCAGGGAGGCGGGTGACTATGTAATAGAGAGTGATGTACATGGGGGGGGGGGGGGGGTTCTTGGCGCAGAACTCAGCAGGCAGCGCGGCGCGGTAGCGAGTGTCACTAGTGCGGAGGTGCGTAATGAGGTCAGCAACTGTGGGAAATGCAGCAAGGTCAGGGAAGAGGTACGGTAGCATGAGACGGCTCAGTGCAGCAGTGGCAGGGGAAGAGTAGCGCGCAACTACAGCGTCGTACAAGGTGTGAGCACTCTTGTATTGACTAAAGTGCGCGCGCTCTGTGCTAGGCAAGTGGCGACGCACAGCAAGACGTGCAGTAGCATCGCGGGTGGCCCACTGTGAGCGAACAGTGGGGTCAGCATCAGCAGCAGGGGAAGGAGAGGCGCCAGAGGTGAGGTGAAAGAGAGAAAGACCGTCCGCCCTATCGCACTGTAAGAACAGCTGCAGGTCACCGACCCAGACCTCAAAGTCAATGGCTCGACCCTCAGCGTCAAAAGCGAGGACACTAGGGGTAGCCATGACGACGGTAGACTAGCAGTGCAAGCAGTAGGGGAAGGGCACGCAGTGATAGAGAGGCTGTGCTCACCGGACAGGGCTGCTCGGGCGGCTCAACTGTAAGGCGGCTCGGCGGCTGGGCGGCTCGGCTGCTGGGCGGCTCGGCGGCTTGGCGGCTGGGCGGCTCGGCTGGTGGGCAGCCGGGCGGCTCGGCGGTAGGGCGGCTCGGCTCCTCTGGTACAGGGCGGCGCGGCGGTCGGCGGCTCGGACGCGCTGCTGCAGGAGGGGAGAGCGGCGGGGCCGCAGCAGACGGGCGGCGGGGCCCGTTGACGTAGGGCGGCGGGGCCGGTGAAGTAGGGCGGCGGGGCCGGTGAAGTAGGGCGGCGGGGCCCTTGAAGTAGGGCGGCGGGGCCCTTGAAGTAGGGCGGCGGGGCCGCAGGTGTAGGGCGGCGGGGCCGCAGCAGACGGGCGGCGGGGCCGCAGCAGACGGGCGGCGGGGCCGCAGACGTAGGGCAGCGGGGCTGCTGAAGTAGGGCGGCGGGGCCCGTTGAAGTAGGGCGGCGGGGCCGCGAAGTGGGGCGGCGGGGCCGCAGCAGACGGGCGGCGGGGCCGCTGAAGAAGGGCGGCGGGGCCGCGAAGTGGGGCGGCGGGGCCGCAGCAGACGGGCGGCGGGGCCGCTGAAGCAGGGCGGCGGGGCCGCGAAGTGGGGCGGCGGGGCCGCTGAACAGGGCGGCGGGGCCGCGAAGTGGGGCGGCGGGGCCGCTGAAGCAGGGCGGCGGGGCCGCGAAGTGGGGCGGCGGGGCCGCGAAGTAGGGCGGCGGGGCCGCAGGAATAGGGCGGCGAGGCCGCAGTTAGGGCGGCGGGGTCGCGACGTAGGGCGGCGGGGCCGCGAATGCGGGTGGCGGGGCCACGCTAGTAGGTGGCGGGGCCGCACGAACGGGCGACGGGGCTGCAAAGGTAGGGAGGGCCGCTAGGGCGTAGGGGCCGCTAGGGCGGCTCGACGAGGTGAGAGCGCGACTCGGGCGGAGCGCGCTTCGGGCAGGAAAAAAATTCGAAATTTGGTGGGCCCTAGGCACAGTTCCCACAGGGGAACCTGCTCTGATACCATGAGAAAATGAGAACGAGAATGAATGAACTATGAATGAAGTGAGTACAAGTACTAACCCTAATTGGGTTGTACCCCTTGTGGGCTACCCCACTATAGCCTACACAATATGCAAAAGCTATATGTTTTGACAATCGAAACCCCTAGCAAGAGTTCCGCAAGGCGAGTTGCCAGCACTGCATCAAAGTGATTCGCCAACGCTGCAGCAATGCGGCCTGCCAGCGTAGCAGAAGGGTGACATGTCAGCGCTGCAGCAGGGTGGCCTGCCAGCGCTGCATTTGCAGGTGAATCTCTGCGCAGGTGTGCACCTGCTGAGTAGGTGCAGGTAGACGGTTGCACCGTCAGAGACATTGCGCAGGTGCTAGGTAGAAAACGTTCCGACGGTTTTGTGAGGTGTCCACCGTCGAGCACGTATGCCATTCCGTAGGTGAAATTTCGCTAAGAGCCACCTGAGCAAATTTCGCATGCCTTCGCAGAGTTCCGCAGTCGCGCGAATTTGGCCGACCAGTTTGCCGAGACGAGGCTCGCCGAACGGCGCCCTTCGATCAGAGAACGAGGCTTTTTGGACTGCAACCTATCTGTCACAGATCGCGCGACTCACTAGCAGATCAGAGGACAAGCTCGTCGAACAGCACCCCGTCGACCAGAGCTTGTCGATGGGCTGGTGAATCAGAGGACCACCTTCTCGAAAACCCACCGCGATTTCAGAGAACGGGCTGATCCAATGCGATGATCACATTGTCGAATCACCACGTCGTCGCAGAGAATGCCTGCGCCCAAGCGAGAGCGGGGCCTTTTAGTTCGACACTCTCAATGACTATCTTGTCAAGCAGGGTGTATCTCACGCCACCCTGCTTTGAGGGGGGGACTTGTGAGAGTACGACGGCTTATGCTGACTTTGTTAGCTTGCCTATACTTTATTATGCTATTTCTAGCTTATGTTTGTTTTATCATGCATAGATATGCTTGATTTCCTAGGTTAGGTGCATTCCTATATGTTATTATAGTTATAGCACCAAACTAGGTTACATGTACCAAACTCAAGCCTGCTTGGTTTCCACCGAATTGCTTTTTACCGAGTTCGGGAAGATTCTGTTCGGGTCGCTTCACGACCCTCAGAACATTCGCGTAACACCTGGGCTACCTGCCTCTTTTCGAGCCTATATATAGCCTTGTGTTGTACCCAACTGGATCATTCAATTCAAACTCTCTTTTCTGAGCTCGATCCTAGATCCTCACAGCGGGAATGCTAGTTGCGCACAACGTTCCAAATGTGTGCAACAAAAGCCAATTTCTGGCGCTTGGCATTGCCAAGCTGGTTCCAGCGGGCCATGTGCATCCCATCCCACGTTGATCATCCCCTCTCACATGGTGAAGCTGACACGGGCTGAGAGAGAGTCCGGATGGCGAGGGCTGCCGGCTTTGGTGCGTCAGTGCCGTGCCACTGCCACCACTTCACCATGTTATACTTGCCCTCCTTGACCAAGTTCCTCTAAGCAATTGCATCCCCCATCCCGAAGCTTCCCTTCATATCCAGAAATGCCCTCACCCCATCCTGCAGTTCCATCAAAACTTCTCCGAGGTCATTCCCATCACCCCCCTCCTTCTCGTGATAACTGAGGTGCTCGGGGTGCTGAGTGATGAACACTTTGAATACCTTTGTGCACTCCGCGTCTGAGCCGAAGATGTCTTCGTCCTGATTCGCCGGGTTGAGAATCCGGCCTGTAACGTGCATGGGGCAGGCCAGGCTGCCATCCCACCTGCTCTTCAGCAAGCGGCGGATGTGCACTTTGTCGGAATAGCTCAGCTGCTCCTCATCCTCCACCACCACTGTCCCCACATCCTCGGTCAACTGCAGCTTTATGTCATACATAAGAACCATCATCCCCTTGGCATCCCCATCGGCCTTACGCATTGCCATGAACGAGAGCTTCATCAGCTTGCAGAAAAATTCAGCCGTCCGCCACCCAGCGGTATCAAGAGCTTGCAGTGCAAACTTCTCCGTAGCCTTCTTCCTCTCTCCAACTGCCCAGCCCTTTCACACATTAGACACCACCATCTCTTTAAGCAACTGCCGTAGCTCACAGAGACAAGACACAGCAATGTACTGTGTCCCGAATCTTGTTCCAGCTGGTTTCAGCGCGTGCAGCATCTTTGCACCCACCATTTCCAGGGTCCTCAAGTATCCTCTCATCCAGTTGTGGTTGCAGACGAAGGAGCTTATCTCGCTAGGAGGGTCCACCACCTTCTTGGCCCACTTCATTTTACCGACGTCCTTCATGAAGAGGTCCAGTACGTGGGTGCTGCAGGGCACGTGTTGAATGTGCGGCCATTCCGCAATCAACTCGTTGCATGCCACAGCGTAGTTGGACCCACCGTCTGTTCAGTACGCTACCACGTTCTCCGAATCGACCTCCTCCACCACGGGCCTGAGGATGCTAGCGACATAACCGCCAGTTTTGGTCTCCATGCGGCAGTCCACTCTGTCCTTGAACACCGCGACACTGTCGTTGACGAGAAAGACGTTCGCATGTTGGCGACGGTTCTTATCGGTCATCATATCAGAAGCAATTGTCACGCCGGTTCGCTTCCAGCTCGCCTTCACTCCAGCCAGCCCCCTGTCGATGTTCTCGCAGCACAGTCGCAAGCCCGCCCCGCCGATGAACCCCCTCTTAGGGGGGACGTATCCTGTGCCGACATCCCTAATGGCGCAGACGGCGTTGATGAAGAGAGGGTGCTCCGCGATGCGCTCTAGGATGCGACACCCCGCAAACATGAGCGCCAATGCCTCATGAGCATCGCGCTTCCCAGCTGCCGCATCCGTCTCCAAGTAGTCAATTATGCGGCTCCTCTTTCTGCCGCTGGTGACCGAATAGCATCCAATGTCACCTGGCGGCGCTCATCCGCCGCTGCAGCCTCAGCGTCGTGCTTCTTCTGTCAAAATATTATGATGCTTATATTGTGTAGGCTGTAGTGGGGTAGCCCATAAGGGGTACAACCCAATTAGGGTTAGTACTTGAACCCACTTTGATCTTAGTTCAATTCATTCTTGTTCTGTATTCTGACATGGTTTCAGAGCAGGTCATGTTCTAGGACCGTTTCTTTAGGGCCCACTGAATAGTTCCCTGACTCAGGTGCTTCCCGATGTTTCTTTTAAGATAGTACTACAGTCACACCACTACCTGCACCTGTTCCAATCTCTCAGGCTGACCACTCAGGGGGACCGGTTCTTGCACGTTCCTCCACTAATCTCCTGTGTCCGGCGGTTCCGTCTAGCTCACTGTCGGGTCCTCACCTCCCCTAGTTCTCTACGAACTTGGTGAGCACCGCAGCCCTCCAAAAAATGATGGTCACTACCACCACTCCTAGGGGTCAGCGTGTGTCGATCTGCACATGTACACAGACGGGCCGTCACCTGGCCACATTCACCCGCCGGCCTGGGTCGAGTCTGTACATACTGACTACTGCGCCTCCTCATGTAGCTGCGTCTGGTCAGGTATCCGCGTCAAGTCAGGTAGCAGCCCCCTGCCCGTGTCGCATCCTGTCGCACCAGACTCTCCTTTGGCACCACCGCCTTGGTCACCCCTCCCTGCCACGCCTCCGTAGCATGCACTCCTGCCTCCTTGTCTCTGGTCTTCCCAGGTCACTGCCTCCCCTCCCGCCCTCACCTGCCCCACCCTGCCTTCCTTTCATTGAGGGGCGGCAGCGCGCCGCTCCTCACTCCTCGTTTCCCCTGACGACTACTCCCCTGCAGACTCTCTACATGGACGTGTGGGGCCCAGCCCGTGTTAGTGGACAGGGCCGCGAACACTACATTCTGCTGGTTGTTGACGACTACTCGAGTTACACCACGGTCTTCCCCTTGCGCAGCAAGGGGGAGGTTCCTGATGTCTTGATCCCTTGGATCCGCGCTGTCCGTCTCCAGCTCCGTGAGCGGTTCCACCAGGACCTTCCTGTCCTACGTCTGCACTTTAACAGAGGTGGTGAGTTCTCCTCCAACCTATTGCGGGACTTTCGTCGTGGGGAGGGCATCCTCCAGTCGTTCACGCTTCCGGCCTCCCCACAGCAGAATGGGATTGCTGAGCGCCGCATTGGCTTAGTCATGGAGGAGGCTCGTACCTCCATGATCCATGCGGCTGCTCCCCATTTTCTGTGGCCGTTTGCAGTCCCTGTGTTTCTGGCCCCGTGTCTCCTTGCCGGAGACCTCGCCTACACTGCATTGGACGGGGGATGTTGGCGATGCTTTGGTGTTCCGGGACTGGGGCTCTCGTGCCTTTGTCCGCGTTTCTTCCGCGGACAAGCTCTCCTCCCGCGCCATTCCTTGCGTCTTCCTTGGCTTTCCCCCTTACGAGCCATGCTGGCAGTTTTACCAGCCCACCATGGGCCGTGTCTTGCCCTCTCAGGACGTCACTTTTGATGAGTCGGTTCCCTTTTACCATCTGTTCCCCTACCGCACTGCCCCTCTCCCCCCCGACACCGCTCTTCCTCGCTCTAGGTCCCCCTCTGGTAGACCCCCTCCTCCCTCAGAGTCCTGCTCCTTCAGGTGTGTCTCAGGTAGACCCACTCCCCTTGTCTAAGCCTTTCGAGGTCACTGTCAACTCCGGTGCTGCTGGGGGTGGTGCTGGTAGGGGTGCTGCGTCTGGAGGTGCTGAGCCTCAGGGTGCAGAGCGTAGGGGTGCTGAGCATAATAGTGCGGAGCCTGGGGGTGCTGAGTCTGAGGGTACGGAGCCTTAGGGTGCTGAGCCTGAGTGTGCGGAGCCTGGGGGTGCTGAGGCCGAGGGTGCGGAGCTTGGGGGTGCTGAGCCAGAGGGTACCGAGTCTAGGGGTGCTGAGCCTAGGGATACTGCGTCTGGCGGATGTCCTACGCGTGCCTCGCCTCAGCATTCTCGCTGACGGGAGCCTCTCTCACCGCAGCAGCTGCGCAAGTGGTTTGCTCTGCGCACCCGCCTTTGGAGTGGCGCTGCTGGAGCTAGAGGCCCTACCGTTAGAGGCACTGGAGCTGCTAGTCCTGGAGGTGCTGGTGGCACTGCTGGTGCTGGAGGTGCTCGTACTAGAGGTACCGGAAGTGTTGGAGCCGCTGGTCCCAAAGGTGCTCGTTCTAGAGGTACTGGAGCTGCCGGAGGTGGTGGTGCTGCACGCGCTGGAGTTGGAGGCACTGGAGCTGGAGACCCTGGAGCTAGAGGTGCTGGAGCTAGAGGTGCTGGAGCTGGAGGCACTGGAGCTGGAGGCACTGGAGGTGGAGGCGCTGGAGCTGGAGACCCTGGAGCTGGAGGTGCTGGAGCTGGCGGTATTGGTGCTGGAGGCACTGTGCAGCGGCGACCATGTTTCGTTCTACAGCCCCCGTTGTCTCTGCCGCCAACAGGCTCGGTACTTTGCCAGATTCTTAGTCTCCCGTTTTCTACTGGCCTTACTCCTCCCTTACTGTGTTCACCGCCTGACCAGTCACTGCCACAGTTACCGCCAGACTCCCCACTGCCTGCTCCTTCTCCTTACATTGAGCACTCAGACTCTCTTACAGAGCACCGTGAGCCTGCGTCTCGTCCTGCCTCGCCTGTTCGCGCTGTTCTCACCCCCTGTATAAGTTTAGTACGCATGACGAGACCTAAAGCAGTGGGCAGGGGGGCCACTACAAGTGCGCCGAGCTGGAGGGCGCCTGGTTGGAGGGCGCCGAGCAAGAGGACGCCAACCTGGACGCCTGGTCGGTGTCCTAGGAGACTGGACGCCGACCTGGGCGTTTGCACGGCGTCCTGGGAGCCCGGACGCCGACTTGGGCGTCTGGTTGGCGTCCTGGGAGGCTGGACGCCGCTAGATGTCCAGGGAGCCTGGACGCCGACTTAAGCATCTGCACGGCTTCTTGGGCGCCTAGACGCCGACCTGGGTGTTCGGACGGCGTCCTAGGCGCCTAGAGGCCGGACTGGAGACGCCGGGCATGTGTGGCCGGCTACAGACTGAGCTGGTCAACCGGGCGTGGTTGCCCGGTCGACCGGGATACCCGGGCGACGTGTGCGAAGGTCGCCGGGGGTGGTTTCTGCGAGGCCGACTTCGGGGGTGGTATCCCGAGGTCGAAGTGGCTGGTAAGCGCAGTCGCAGGAGTGGTGTTGACCTGGGCGTCTGTGCTGTGAACATGACGAGGAGTGGCGCACCAACCAGCTGCACGCACCTGCGTAGCAGATGCACCGTTGTCCTGCGGGTGCAACGTTGTGCAGCCGACTTGCTGCAGCGTTGGCACACTGTGGACTTGCAACGTTGGCGAACCGCTACTTTGCAAAACTAGAGCGGTGCGAGCGCTGCTGCGCTGGAGCGCGGTCGACCATACTGCGCTGGAGGTCGACCAGCAGCCTAGCTAGCTCTGATATAGTATGTGTTGCCAATGTTGTTGCTATCATTGTTGTCAAATTTCTTAGTGAAACTCTTACCAAATTGCCCCGTGATCTAGCAAGCAGAGTGTGCACTAGGAACGCAGATATCACACGAGCACCTATGCCTAGCCCATAGCCTAGCTCCCGTTGCTCAAGTTATCTCCGCAAGTCCAATATCCCGCCCAAATCCATTCGCTCGATTTATCGAGGGCACTTGAACTCTGCTCAACATTATCCCAAATCGTGACTTCCTCACGCTCTACCTCACAACGGCACCTGCGGAAGGGGAGAGATCAGAAGCAGAAGCAGAGGAGCTGGACAATGAAGTAGAACTAGGACAAGAAGAAGGGCCAGCGCTCCAAATTCCCCACGAGACAGAGGCAGAGGCGGCGGAATACCACGCGCATTACATGCGTACTTCCAGAATCCGCGCTGAAGACGATCTCTGGCATCAGCGGGTCGGTCACCCATTGCGCCAGACGTTCAACAATTGCCTCTGCGCCAAAGTTTTCCTTCCAAGAGCACTGCTACGCCCCGACAGCACGGAACCCCATAACACCCCACATCCAAGCATCTGCACCGTCTATCCCACACCTGCCCTCTCTCATCATGCCTACCCCTCCCTGGAGCCAAGCACCAACCACTACAAGAAGCAGCAGAAGGTATACAGTGACATCATCGTGCTCACCTTCGACGGCGAGCGATATACACTCACCTTTGTTGACGCATCCTCACGCCACGTTTGGGTCGCCAACGTCGATGCCCGCTCCAAGGCATCTAAAATCTTCCGCATCTGGCTCGCACACGCACAGCGACAATCTGGGAAGAAGCTGAAAATTTGGCTGACTGACGGCGCCAAGGAGTTTTGCAGCAACGAACTGGAAAGCGTTGTCACAGAAAAGGGGATCAAGCATCAGATCTCTCTTCCTTATGCTCACCAGCAGCAAGGCGTTGTAGAGAGGGTTAGTCGCACCTTCATGACAAAAGTGCGCACCCTCATGAACCAGTCCGGCCTACCCAAGAAATACTGGCCGTTTTCAGAATCCCAGCCACTAACCACTGGGATAAAAGGGCTTGTTAAGTAGTGGGTCAGTGCGCCCATAACCCCCCAAGCCAACATGCCTGTAACCCTTCCTTAGGATCAATCGGGGATCACCAGTCGACCACTGACACCCCCCCGCACTCGGATGCTCGAAGTGCACACAATGGGATTCGGACCCGAGACCTTCGCTCTGATACCATGTCAGAATCTCAGCCACTAACCACTGGGATAAAAGGGCTTGTTAAGTAGCAGGTCAGTGCGCCCATAACCCCCCAAGCCAACATGCCTGTAACCCTTCCTTAGGATCAATCGGGGATCACCAGTGGACCACTGACAGCCGTACGCCATGAATCACGTAGTGAGACTGCACAACCT